AGGGCTTGCTCACATTGGTTTGGACTAGGATTAAAACAAACCTAAACTTGTCTCTAGTGATCACATAACTGGGTAAATTAAAATGTGTGATGAAAATGGGAGTTTTGTTTAAAAATATCATGAGCATGTTTATAAAAGAGGAAGGGAAGAACTAGAGAAGGCATTGTATAAGCAGATATTTCACCTTTAACTAAACTGCATTGAAAGAAAAAAAAACAGTGTAAGCGCAAGTACCCAGAGATACATTTGAATGTTCTCATTTATTTCCTAAAGCACCACAGGAACCTCAAAATCTTAGGGGTATTTCAAGATAAAAAAAAAACTCTCCACTAAGAAAGCTGAGCTCGAATTTTAACCGCTTCCCGACAGCCGTATAGCAGAAATATTGCTACAGGGCGGCACGGGGTGCGCAAAATCACGTGTATATATACACTTGATTTTGCAGTTCAAGGTACGGGGCATGCGCGTGCCCTACACACGGCGCCATTAAAAATTAGATTTTCAAATTTTTTTTTACTGGACATGTTTAACTGCTTTCGCACCGCCCTATAGTAGAAATACTGCTACAGGGCGGCACGGGTGCGCAAAATCATGTATATATACACGTGATTCACGCCCCTCCCAGATAGCGCCAGATTGCCCGTCAGTATACCAGTAATCCCATTTAACCCCATGATTGCCAGGAACACGCTCACATACACAAACCTCCATTGCTAGTATAGTGTCTGAACGGATCAATATCTTTGATCAGATCCGCACTATACCAGCGTTCACATTCGTATAGTGTCCCCAAAAATGCAGCGTTAGCGGGATCAGCCGCGGCACATGCGGTTAACCACTACACTCACATTCCCCCCCCCCCCCCCCATTCACCACCAGCAATCAGACCTGATCTGTTAGCCCTTGCCAGCAATTTTTTTGGTGGCGGTTCAAGCAGTCCCTGACAGCCAGGTGCTCTTTTTCCCCGTGAGTAGCACTAGGTACCTAGAAATTTAGTGACCAAAATGTCAATGGAAAGGTACTCTAGCAAAGAGGCCTACAGGATTCTGAGCATGTCAGGTGAGAGTGAAGGGGAAGCCTCCCTGACTGCTGTCTACAGGTTCATATTCTGAGCCAGATTCTGAGGTACCCTGACAGATAGCTCAGATGATGGAGAAGAGGTCCCTGCTAAGATCAGGCGTAACCGACCTCATTCTCAATTTGCGGAGATGTTACAATCACATGATGACTCTCATGCAGCAGAGTGCCAGTACTAGTGCCACTCTACCTTTTGGTGAACTGACGAGCACCAGCTGCCTAGTAAATCCTGTTCTTTCACATACCAGCACTGAAGTATCACTTGGTGATATGGTGAGTCCCATAAGTGCAGTACAAGCTGGTGCGGTGGCGAGCACAAGTAGTGTTCCGCAGCCACCTAGAATTTGCACACTGGCCCATAGAGCCCCTAGTATTCTTCCGGATGTGTGCTTGCAAATCCTGATTAGTAGCCCACAAATTCTGCAGCACCCCATTCAATGCCCAACCCGGAATTCAGGTGGAAACAGCAAAGTTAACTACTCCCCTTGATTTTTTTGGAGCGTTTTTTTTACAGAAGATCTGTACGCATTGATTGTGGATCAAAACAATTTATGTGAAAAGTTTATCGCCGCCAACCCAAATTCAAACCTTGCCAGACCATTCGCATGGAAACCCATTACGGTTTCCGAATTTAAAAGGTTTTTTTGGCCTAACCCTCAACATGGCATTACTTAAAAAAAAAAAAAAAAAAAAAGAATTTTGTATTGGTCCACAGACCCGATTCATCCTATGCCTGTGTTCTCTGCTGCCATGGCCAGGCAAAGATATGAGAGTATAATGTGTTTTATGCATTTAAATAACACACTTGTTCTTGGGGTGCCCTGAATTTGACCGGCTCCACAAAATTCGGCCCCTCGTAGATCACCATAACCAAAAATTTTCAGATGTCTATACTCCCCAGCAAAACATCTGTGTTGATGAGTCCCCCAATTTTTCTGGCCGCCTTGCATTCAAATAATTTCTCCCCAGGAAGTGAGCCAGATATGGGGTCAAGATGTATAAAACCTGCGAGAAGGCAACAGGCTATGCATATGTTTCGGATTTATGAGGGAAAAAATAGTCACATGGTGCCACCCAGGATGCCCAGACTACATGGGGAGTAGTGGCAAGATAGTTTGGGACTTGGTGTCATCCCTTTTCCATATGGGGTACCACTTATACGTGGACAATTTTTATTCAAGCATGCCACTATTTAGACATTTATACAATCTTGGAATTGGAACATGTGACTTCGTGCGACCTACTCACCAGGGCTTCCCCCAATGGCTTGTAAATACCAGTTTTAGAAAGGGGGAAAAAAGCCTGCTTGAGAAATGAGGATGTCAGTCACCTGCAGCACCGACTTGTTTATTCTGACAGCAACAGGGTCCTGCTCTCAGAATATACATAAGTAGGTGTGTGCAGTGCTGTTGGATGAGATTTTTCATCCACAGTTAAAAAAAAAAAAAAAAAAAAAAGAAGAGCATATATGCCGAAGCATGGGGGCCTGGGGTGGCCAGTGGGTGGATGGCTCCTATGCTTTGGCACATATATTTTATAATATTTTTGGCACATTTCATGTGTGCCCACTATTAGAAGTGGGTGGATGCAAGGCGGTATATTCTAATGTTGGGCAAACCACACACTTTCTGGCAGAGATTTCTTCTCTTTTTTTCAATTCAACCCACAGGCATCATCCTTGTATAGTTTTCAGCTGGTGATCGGCTTTCATGTAAAAGCAAGCCTCGTCTGCGTGCGCGAGCGTTGACCCTGTGCCAGTATGTAAACAGCGGTTACACTATGCATGTGAGGTATCGACGCGAACGTCAGATCAAGGGCGGTAATTCTACCACTAGACCTCTTCTGTAAATATAAAATGGTAGCTTGTAAAGGCTTTTAAAGCGTTGCCTATGGATATGTATGCGATTTGTCGCCATTGCACGGGGCATGCACAGTTTTAAAGCATGTTTGGTATCTATTTACTCGGCATATCATCTTCTATGTTTTACCAAATAATTGGCCAATATATTGTATTTTTGTGCATTAAAAGTAAAAAAAAAAAAAAAAGTTTTTTTCCCCAAAAAAATAGCATTTGAAAAATCACTGCGTGAGTACAATGTGACAAAAAAGTACAGCACCCACCATTTTATTCACTAGGGTGTCTGCTTTAAAAAATATATAATGTTTGGGGGTTCAAAGTAATTTCCTAGCAAGAAATACAGATTTTCATTTTTCATGTGAACAAAAAGTCAGAAAAAGCTTGGTCTTCAGGTGGTTAAAAGAGTAAGTGATATGTGGCATAAACTTCTAATGCTAGGCATAAAATGCCCCCACCCCCCAAAACAACCCCTTTTTGGAAAGTAGACACCCCAAACTATTTGCTGAGGCATGTTGAGTCAATAGAAGAATTTATTTTTTTACCACAAGTATTGGAAAATGACAAAAACTTTTTTTTTTTTTTTTTTTTTACACAAAATTGTCACTTAAATTTATTGCTCACACATGCCATGGGTATATGAATTACTCCCCAAAATCCATTCTGCCACTTCTCCCGAGTATTACTCCCCAAAATCCATTCTGCTACTTCTCCCGAGTATTGGGATACCACATGTGAGACGTTTTGGCAATCTAGCCAAGTACAGGACCCCAAATTCCAATAAGCACCTTCAGGCCTTTAGAGAGCTTTATTTCCTCACTACACTCCTGACTACCTATCACAGTTTCGGAAGCCCTGAAATGCCGTAACCCCAAATAACATTTTTTTGGAAAGTAGACACCCAAAGGAATTTGAGAAGAAGCATGGTGAGTATTTTGCAGATCTCCTTTGTTGCCACAAGGTTTTGGAAAATGAAGGAAAAAAAAAAAAAACTTTTTTTTTTATATATTTCAAAACCTTGTGAGAAAAAAATAGATCTGCAAAATACTCACCATGCCTCTCTTTTTTAATTCCTTGGAATGTCTACTTTACAAAAAGGGGTAATTTGGGGAGGTTTTGAAACTGTGATGGGTAGTGAGGAATGAGGAAATTACATATCTTCAGGCTTTCAAAGGGGTCACTGGATTTCAGGCTCCTGTATGTAGCTATGCTCCCAAAAAGTCTCACACATGTGGTATCCTCATACTCAGAAGTAGCAGAATGTATTTTGGGGTGTAATTCCACATATACCCATGTGTGAGCAATATATAATTTAAGTGACAACTTTGTGCAAAACAAAGTTTGTCATTTTACAAAAACTTATGGAAAAAAAAAAAATAACTCTTCCATGGACTCAATATGCCTCTCAGCAGAAAAGTTTAGGGTGTCTACTTTCCGAAAAGGGGTCATTTGGGGGTTTTTGTACTGTGCTGGTAGTTTAGAACTTAAAGAAATGTGATGAGCAGTCAGAAAGTAAAAGCTGTGAAAATTCCATTATCTATACCATAGTTTGTAGATGCTGTAACTTTCACACAAAGCAATCAATATACACTTATTGGGATTTTTTTTTTTTATACCAAAAACATGTAGCAGAATACATTTTGGCCTAAATTTATAACTAACTTTGAGTTTACTATATATTTTTTATAGTCAAAAGTAAAAAATATCGTTCAAAATTTGGGCTTTTGTTTATAGTGCAAAAAATAAAAAGCGCACAGGTGATCAAATATCACCGAAAGAAAGTTCTATTTGTGTGAAAAAAAAGAAATAAATTTCATTTATGTACAGCTTTGCATGACCGTGCAATTACCAGTTGAAATAGTGCAGCGACAAATAGTAAAAAAAAAGGCCTGGTCAGGAGGGGGGTAAATCCTCAGGAGGGCAAAAGATTACTAGTATATCTCCATCTCATAGCACTTAAAAAAGGTTTCAAAAATGTCTTTCATTGGAAAAGGTCAAACAACACAAACAGTAAAAATAATTTAAACTTTTGTTCAACTACAGTTTCTACGGAAATAAAAATTACTTACTAATGTAAATAAGTCGTATATTTGCATTAGTTCCTCGATTTTGTACTGTTCTAGCACCACAAAGTTTTCCAGATCTGGATTGGTTTTTCGTGCACAGTCATGGCAATGAACTATATAGGTCTTCCGAGAATTGCTTTCTTTTGTAACAAAAAGCAAATTGAAGACTTCCACCTGATGGTAAAAACAAATATATAAGCAGTTACATAACAATTCATACAAATACAATATATTTTTAATCTAGCAAATATTAGAATAAAGCATATGGGTCTACTGAACTGATAAGTAACCAACCTCACAGATGTTACAGTAATGTGCAGGTTCCTCTTTTGTTCGTCCATGCCATACAACCTCCTTTCCTGTGGCTATAAGAGCTTCTCTTAATGCCTGGCACTGCTTCAATGTCCTCAGCAAGCAGTACCTAAAATTAGACAACAAGCATGACCTTTAAGAATATAAACATTTACAAAAAAAAAAAATACAAAAAATGTGAGCAATAGCCGGGAACAATCACTTCATATTCCTAGCCATTAGAAACTTTATACAGTAGCAGTCAATACGGTACAATGAGTACTTTATACATGCAGTACATCTGTATTCATTAATGCAGCTAAAATGAATATATTGATTTCTTCACAATCTATTTTATTAGAAACAGTATGAAAAGAGATATAACAACACAAATAGCAATTACAGCAAAATAGAGAAAACCAATCTGCAAAAGAGAAAAAAATGTTTGGAAAGTTTATTGGTGATGTACTGGTATGTTGCGGTTTGCTTCCTGGTTTAGGGCCTGCACACATGTGCCTCCCCCCCAAACACCTGCTGTGATGGGAGTCTGTCAGCAGGTCCTGGCCAATGATTTATGGTCGGGACCTGCTGATCGGCTGTGTGCAATTATAGCCCAGAGCCCATGTTGAAAATCAACAGAGCACTGTACAGAGGGAGCAATCTCTGGGATGAGAAACAAAGAGGTCTTTTAGTAAAAGCAGCACATAATACACATTGTTAGGCACACATTTAACCCCTTCCCAGCCACTGTCATAAGTACACTGACAGTGTATAGTATTATCACTGATCACTGTATTACTGTCACTGTAAATATCAGTGGCAGTTCCCCTCACTGTCAGATTTCCTGCCGCACTATCGAGGTCCCATTATAAGTCACTGATCACCGCCATTAACAGTATAAAAAAATAAATAAAAATTCCAATATCCATCTATATACCGTATTTTTCGCTCCATAAGACATGCCTAGGTTTTAGAGGAGAAAAACAAGAAAAAAATATTCTGAACTAATGGACTGCAGACACAGTACAGGAGATAACCAGCGACTGCGGACACAGTACGAGTGACCAGCGACTAGGAGATGACCAGCGACTGCGGGGACACAGTACAGGAGATGACCAGCGACTGCAGACACAGTACAGGAGATGACCAGCGACTGCGGACACAGTACAGGAGATGACCAGCGACTGCGGACACAGTACAGGAGATGACCAGCGACTGAGGACACAGTACAGGAGATGACCAGCGACTGCGGACACAGTACAGGAGATGACCAGCGACTGCGGACACAGTACAGGAGATGACCAGCGACTGCGGACACAGTACAGGAGATGACCAGCGACTGCGGACACAGTACAGGAGATGACCAGCGACTGCGGACACAGTACAGGAGATGACCAGCGACTGTGGACACAGTACTGGAGATGACCAGCGACTGCGGACACAGTACAGGAGATTAAAAAACAACTTCCTGCACTCAGAATGGGGCCCTCTCCCTACAGCTGCTGACACTTGCCCTCCTACCAATGTGAGTCAAATATATAAACAAATAGTGCAGCGCTAAATACTAAACAAACATACATATAAAAAAATAAATATTCAAATCAATATATATCATAAACATGTGCAACAGTGCAAATAAAGTGTAATACGTGTATTCCACCAGGAAACATCAAAAGTGACCACGTGACAAATACATAAAAATAAATAAATATTCAAATCAATATATATCATATAAATGTGCAAAATTGCAAATAAAGTGTAACACGTGTATTGCACCGGAAAATAAAAGTGACCAAGTGACAAATATTGCTCAATAAAGTGCAATTTGTGTATTCCCTATACGGGAATATTCAAAGTGACCAAACAAACTATATAACACAAATATTCTAAAAAAACGACACTGTGTAAACATGTCCATATATATATATATATATATATATATATATATATATATATATATATATATATATATATATGTAGTGTATCTCATACACAATCTTCATGCAAGTGCTGTCAAGTGTCCACACTGTGTATATCCAAAATTAGCTGCAATGGCCCCTCACCTCCTTACATCGACCATATTTGAAACCCCTATATCTATTACCCATGCAAGGCAGGCATAGCATGAGATGAAGGAGCCATTTATGTGCATGTTACATGAAAGATGAAGAGGAATGTGAGTAGATATCTTTCTGTATAATTTACCTATTAAATGTGGTTTTACACTATGGGAGTCTTCTGTTTATGCATGAAACGGAGAGGAATATAGAGTATACAGCGCTTGAAAAGATCCTGAGATACACCAGAGTGGTGTTTGTCCCTTGAGGCAAGGTGCCCCTGTGAGATCTATATAAGGAGGAACCGGAGAAGGAGCTGGGTATAGAGCATACATCGCTGGGGAGGATCTGTGATATACCAGAGTGGTGTTTGTTTCCCAAAGCGAGTTGACCCTGCAGGGTCGATGTAAGGAGGTGAGGGGCCATTGCAGCTAATTTTGGATATACACAGTGTGGACACTTGACAGCACTTGCAGGAAGATTGTGTATGAGATACACTACATATATATATATATGGACATGTTTACACAGAGTGTCGTTTTTTAGAATATTTGTGTTATATAGTTTGTTTGGTCACTTGGTCACTTTGAATATTCCCGTATAGGGAATACACAAATTGCACTTTATTGAGCAATATTTGTCACTTGGTCACTTTTATTTCCCGGTGCAATACACGTGTTACACTTTATTTGCAATTTTGCACATTATATGATATATATTGATTTGAATATTTATTTATTTTTATGTATTTGTCACGTGGTCACTTTTGATGTTTCCTGGTGGAATACACGTATTACACTTTATTTGCACTGTTGCACGTTTATGATATATATTGATTTGAATATTTATTTATTTATATGTATGTTTGTTTAGTATTTAGTGCTGCACTATTTATTTATACAGTACAGGAGATGACCAGCGACTGCGGACACAGTACAGGAGATGACCAGCACCCAGCTATCACAACCAGGTGCCCAAACTAAAGATGCCGGCGCGGGAAGACTGCACAGCGCTGGACCGAGGAACAGCTAACGTCCTGCTGCGGAGAACAGCTGAGCGACCGGCCTGGTAATACGGTGTGTATTACCCCCTTCCTGACCAGGCCATTTTTTGCGATACGTTGCTGTATTACTTTAACTGATAATTGCACGGTCCTGCAATGCTGCACCCAAATTAAATTTACACCCTTTTTTTCCACACAAATCGGGCTTTCTTTCGGTGGAATTTGATCACCTGTGTGTTTATTTTTTGCACTATAAACAAAAAAAACGACCGACAATTGAGGGGGAAAAAAAAAAACATGTCCAGTAAAACAAAAAAAAAAAAATCAAATTTCATCATAAAATTTAGGCTAAAATGTATTCTGCTACATGTCTGCTATAAAACCCCCCCCCCCAAAAAACCCAACACGTGTAAATGAATTGGTTTACGTGAAAGTTACAGCGTTTACAGATGGCGGTATATATACTGTAACTTTGTTTTCAACTAGTAATTGCGGTGATCAGCAACTTATAGCGGGACTGCTGCGGGCATTCTGTCACTAAGGGAAACTGACTTGGTGTCACTGATATCCCCCAGTGACACCAATACAGTGATAAGTTCTAATAAAAAGCACTGACACTGTACTAATGGCACTGGGCAGGAAAGGGTTAACATCTGGGCCGATCAAAGGGTTAACTGTGTGCCGTTTCCCTACTTGGGCTGTGTGTGTGCTTCGCTGTAAGCACAATGCTTTTCATGGCTCTGTATGCAGAGCCATACATGGCAGTGTGCAGGATTTGACAGGGAGAGATCTATGTTGTTTATACTGTACACAGGTCTCTCCCCCGGAGATATTCGGCGATCACCGAGTACAGGCAAGTAATCACCGGCTCGGACCAGTTGATTGACAGCCAAGGCCACGAATGTTATTTTGTGCACCCGTGCTGTCCTGTAGCAGTATTTCTGCTATAGGACGGCGTTGAACTGGTTAAAGTTTGAGCAGTGATCATTTCAAAATAAATGCTACCTGTTTATCTTGACTCCAAAATGATGATTGTGATACAAAGCACAGCAAAGTTACTTAAAAAAAGTTTTTTTTTTTTTTTTTTTTAACACACGGGAATACAGACAAAGTTAATGAAAACACATCAACAAAAGTAATGAGTTAATTGGAGCTAGTTGAGGATAACAATACTGATGGCATACAGTTAGGTCCATATATATATGGACACAGGCACAATTTTAGCTTTTTTCAGGTATTTACCAAAACATATTCAAGCTATAGTTATATAATGGATATGGACTGAAAGTGCACACTCTCAGGTTTAATGTGAGGGTATCCATATTGGAGGAAGGGTTTAGGAATTACAGCTCTTAAGAGTAGCCATCCCCCTTTTTCAAGGGACCAAAAGTAATTGGACAATTGAATCAAAAACATGGCCAGGTGTGGGCTGCTCTATTATTTCTTCATCAATTAAGCAGGTAAAAGGTCTGGAGTTGATTAAGTGTATTTGCATTTGAAATCTATTGCTGTGAACCTACATCATGCGTTCAAAGGAGCTGTCCATGCAAGTGGGCAAGTTGGGCAGCATAGTGGCTAAATGGTTAGCACTTCCGCCTTGCAGCACTAGGGTGGTTGGCTCAAATCCCAGCCACGGCACCACCTGCCTGGAGTTTGCATGTTCTCCCCGTGCCTGCATGGGTTTCCTCTGGGTACTCCGGTTTCCTCCCACACGCCAAAGACATGCTGGTAGGTTAATTGGATCTTGTCTAAAACGGCCCTAGTATGTGTACATATGAATGTCAGTTAGGGACCTTAGATTGTATGCCCCTTGAGGGTTAGGGACTGATGTGAATGTACAATATATATTTATATATGTAAAGCACTGCGTAAATTTACAGCGCTATATAAGCACCTGAAATAAATAAATAAATAAGTGAAACAGGCCATTGTAAGGCTTCAAAAACAAAAATCTATCAGAGAGATAGCAGCAACATTAGGAGTGGCCAAATCAACAGTTTGGTACATTCTGAGGAAAGAAGAACACACTGGTGAGCTCAGCAACATAAAAAGGCATGGACATCCACTGAA